GTTAAATTGAAAATTTAATATTTGAAGGGAATGATATGTTAACAAGTTCTTCGACAACTTGAATAATTACGCAACCAGTCAGGACCCTGATAAGTTCAGGGTGGATGAGACTAGTTAGTATCATAGAGTGGCCGCTATGATTATAAGATAATTCAGACCCGTGCTTGATGTTGCATAAAGATGATATCATAATTTCTCTCCTTTTTATTTTCAGATATTCATAATCCCACATAGATATCCAATATGGAAAAAACAATGATTAGAGTAGGGATTGGTTGAAGGATTGATAAGTTCTTTGTCAACTAGACTAGATTTGGTTGTTTGATATATTTCTCATTTTCCACAAGATGAAGAGAATAAGACAATTATTAGAGTCTCTTGAAGCACTAATAAGTGAGAACATGCTTTGGACACAACTGGACAAGAGATCAACATTCTCAAATTTTCATCAAAGTTTGGTGAATATCACTATCTTACAGAACGAGCTCGACGTCAATGATATTTGTTTAAGAGGTAGCATATTATAGGTGTGGCATGGATGCATTTATAATAGGGGTGCTAATATTATATAAGTTTGATTCAGATTCATATTAATCTTAAGCTAAATAAATTATTAGATGTGCTATCTTTCTAACTAAAGGTAAGTAAATTAAATTTATCAGGTTTCTGTAGTCTTCAAACTTGTTAAAACTGATCTCCGAAAGACTTCATGGACATGCAAGATTTGGATGCACTTGGTTTCCCTATCAGTCTAGTGTTCATTTCTTACACTCTAAAATGACTATGAGGCTAGTGAATCCTAATAAAACTCTACCCATATATAGCTCATCATATTTGATCAATTCTGAACTTACATGTATAGGATAACAAAGGCCACTCTTTTGAAGTATAAGAATTCTATTAAAACTCCTCCTTCATACTTTCTTTAGCGGAAAACTTATCCAAAAGAAGATCCTCTGCAGAAACTCATACAGGGGTGTAGTAGGATTTGACTTGGCTCGCAACACAAATTTTAAAGTTCAGTTTTAGTGGAATACGCGTTTGTCTTCTTTTTCTAACTAAGACACATTTCACGATCTCTTACATCCTTAGTAGATCTTTATAGAGAGACTTCCATTGTCAAGCAAATGCTTTCTCCAATAGTCCAAGTTCCTCTCCTTGTCATCCGTGACTGTCAAATATTGGAGTCTTATCATTTGATTGTAGAAATCTGGCGCGTTATAGTATTACTATCATTATCTCGATTGATGAATATCTTAATCAAGCATGCAAGAAAATAAATAAATAAATAAATAAAAATTTAAAAAAATAGGGGACAACAAAATGCCTTCACTACTACTCTTTATTCTGGATATTATGGTTTTTCGTAATTTTTAAAGATGAAGAATCCACATCCACAAATATCATAATTTACTGAACTTATTACAACTAAAGGGAGCATATATAACTATTTTGTTGAAAACAACACAGCTCAACAATTCACCACATACAATTTGTTTATTGCTTATCTTTGTGAAAGCAAATGCTCTTATGCTAATGACCTGTTACAATCATAACATGTTGTCAACTTAACGACTTTTTCTGATTTTTCAAAATAAAAAACACAAACTTTTTTTAAATATAAAAGGACTAGCTAGTTGTCTATATATATGTGACTCCCCTTGAAACTTAAATGGAGTCTCATATCTCATAGCTTCCCTGGCTTCCATCCTCCCTTTCTTTCTCTCTAGTTGTTTGTGTGCTTCTCAGAGTTTAGTAGAATTTGCGGTTTCACCCCTCCTTCAAGTGCCATGGATATCAAGAATCCATATGCAGTGGTTTTGATCATTCAGTTGATATATACCGGCATGTATGTGATCTCTAAAGCTGCATTCAATGAAGGTTTCAGTACTTACATCTTCATTTTCTATCGGCAAGCAGCTGCAACAATTTTGTTAGCTCCCCTAGCTTTTGCTTTCGAAAGGTATACATCCTGTCCTTGTTCCTCTTAATTTCGTTACTGTCAGAATCTTATTGCCGCAATCTGTCGATAGAAAATTTCATGCTAGTTCCCTATATTTCTTGATTACTAGGAAAAGTGCAGCATCTCTATCTTTCATGGTGTTGTTAAAGATGTTCATACTTGCCTTACTCGGGTATGGATTTCGATTCCTTCTTCAGTTAACGTATATAATTTTGATTATTTTTTGATTTTGTGACACTGAAATGTTCTGGGTATTACAGGATTACATTTAGCTTGAACCTGTATAATGTGGGTTTGAGGTATACTTCTGCAACTGTGGCATCTGCAGTCACAAACTCAGTCCCAGTGATTACCTTCTTCTTGGCTCTTCTATTAAGGTACAAACTATAGACAATGTGTACTAGAGCTATTTGATTTCCTAAGTTCATGACTAGTTATATAAAATAAAATCTGAAAACTTGTAAGGCCTGAAATCCAAAACTATATAACAAATGACAAACCTGAAATGGATTTTTTTTCCTTAGTAGGATAGAGTTCAGTATCTTCAATTATCACTGACAGAAAACTCAGAGGGAGAAGACTCCCATCTTATCATTAATAAGAATTTAACAAAATATTTGGTCATAAAGGATTGCAGCATGTACAATGCATTCACATATAATCTTACCGTTGGAAACAAAAAGAGTGCCTCATACAATACCGAGCTTTATGCTGAAATCGACGATCAACTCAGAACAGTGTGGCACCTTCACTGGAGGTGTTATTAGTCTTTTTCGCCTTCTGATCTCCACCATTGTATCCGGTGAATAAATTCCCTTATGTTACTGAAAAAGAAAAGGGCAGACCAATCTGTAGGACATTCTATTTTACTATTTATGCGCTCCCTCTGAGAACCATGGAGATTTGTTCTGCAGTTTCCAACAGCAAAAAGCTCCCTCCTCAAAGAATGAGGTGGATGAATATGATTACCCTCACTCATATATATAACCCTGGCCATGTTCACATGTTCTCTCCTTTTCTCCACGTTCATTCATCACTGCACCGCATAAGATTCCAGTGTGATCTTTATAAAAAGTTGAGGCCACCTCATTCTGTTGACACAATTAAGCACATGCCAATTCAATACAAGACCAACAAGACCAATAAGAATATTGGTGGATATACTCTCTAGATATGATGCTTTTGATCAACAGTTTATTCAAGTAATGAAAAGTTTCTAAATTATTTATATACTACGTACCGATAAATGCACTTCTCGATAATTTTATGCTTTTTTTCTTTCTAAAATTGTAAATTAATTACAGGATGGAAAGTGTCAGATTAAAGAGTATCTCAGGCATCGCGAAGATCTTAGGTGTGGCAATTTGCTTAGCTGGTGTTGTGACAATTGCTTTCTATAGAGGGCCTCATCTGAATCCTTTGAATCAACATCATCATCTCTTTAGCCACAAAAATAACTCAAGCCACCACACACAAATCCACTCAAAGGCGACATGGATAAAGGGAACTTTCTTTATGATCGCCGCGAATACATTTTGGTCACTTTGGCTTGTTTTGCAGGTAAATTTTGTCCCCGCGTATATTTAATTATTCCACTAAAACTGACTACTTATTCATAATTTTCTTTTTCTTTTTCTCCTTCTATTTTAGGGGATTTTATTGAAGGAGTTTTCTTCCAAGCTTCTCCTCACTACATTCCAGTGTTTCTTTAGCACTATCCAGTCATTTGTTGTTGCATTGGCTTTTGAGAGGGAAATCTCAAGGTGGCGGTTGAGTATGGATTTGGGTCTCCTTGCAATTGCATATTGTGTAAGTTCTTGCGTATGTATTAAATCTATATCGACACTTGTGCATGTCTTTGTACAATAATTATCACTCATGCATGCATGTCTTGTGTTGAAGACACAAGAACAATTTTAAATTCATGTCATGTTAAGTTAATGCTTTGATAGACCGTGACAACTATTTTTCCTTTTTATGAATACAAGTCGATAAATATTTATAACTCACATGGAGATTATAGCAAATGACAAAAATGTGTTAAAAGCATAAACTACAAATTCTAATTGCAGGGGTTTGTTGTTACCGGTGTAACTTTCTATTTGCAAACATGGTGTATTGAGAAGAAGGGCCCTGTTTTCTTAGCCATGACGACACCTCTAGCATTTGTGTTCACGACAATTTGCTCTTCATTTTTCTTAGGAGAAGCAACTTTTCTTGGAAGGTAAGTATGTAATTAATCATAATAATAAATTAATTTGTTCTATGTTTCGTATAATTTTTTTGATTAATATGAGTATGTTTTACAGTGTAATAGGTGGCATTTTGATGGTTGGTGGCTTATATGGTGTCTTATGGGGGAAGAGCAAAGAAAATGTGAAATGTGAACCAACAATTGAAGATGGGAAAGAATTTTATGAGGAGAAAGAACTTTCATCACCCTATCGTCCTCTCTAATTAAGCTTAGTTTTTATATCTTCTTTGCTTTCCTATCTTCAAAAAATTAAGAAATTAAAAAAAAATCATATATCTCTGTGAGATTATAGCTTGAAGAAGCAAAAAGTTCGGATTATTGATTATCAAAGGGATCTTATTTTGGAGAGGAATATGGAAATGTAACCGAAAATTATTATTTTCTTTTTAATGTATCTACATTTGTAACAGTTCAATGCACCAATTTGAGGCATGCAAATATTTATTTAAGGTACTTCGTGATAGCAATATGGTCGGGGACTAGAAGGTAATTAGTAAAATTATGGAATTGGAAATTTGTTTACTTAATTATTATTGTTTTTTTTTTTTGAAGTCTATTTGAAATGTTTTATTTTGATTTTTAATTGTGGATAATATTATACATGTGATGATGACAAGCGGGCAACAAGCTGCGCCGCTAATCCTTTCTGAATTGCAAAACCCAACCGACGAAACACGTAGTCAGCTGATCCTGCTGTAGCCACATTCCTATTCATAAATTTTTGTACCCTCCTGAGGAACTCCGCTGCATCAGCTGCAAGATAACCAAACGTATCGAACGCGAACGGGATGAAACTATGGTGATTGTCCTTGCAAGCTTGATCATGTTTGCCCACCTTTGCCTCTGCCGCCCTATCCGCTGCATGCCCAACCGTGAACACACCATTACCAAACCCCACCAACGGAGACACCCCCGTAAGATCAACACAAGCGTGCTTCCCTCCGCTCCAACTGTAGACAAGAACGTCTGCCGGCCTTAAAGTAGATCTAGCCTCTCCAGGAGGAGTGAGGAAGTTGACCGGCGCTTCCTTCTTGGATGGGATCCCTGCTCTTCGGAGGATATCATACAAGACATCTCTGACTAAGTCGTGCCTGTACTTGAACCCCGGCTGCTTCTGACAGTGGATGGCATGCTCTCCAAAAGCATCCATCGGCGTCCTACGACAAACTGGGCACATTGTCCCCTCCACGAACAAAGGAACCAACAACCTGTACCTGAGGATGGCCTGGTACTCCCCCGGAGTCATACGCTGCCCCAATCCCTCAATAGGCGTGGCCAACAAGAAATCCTGGGCATGCTTTGCCCGCAGACACCCAACAATCGCAACCTGCCTCTCTGATAGGTCAAACTCCGTCGATAGATCTCTACAAACGCCACCAAAAAAGATGTCTGCCAAGTATTGCATTGGTTTTGGGGGGACAGACCCTTTAGTGGTGATTTGAAGAAGGTCAACCTCAGGTAGCTTGGCTTGAAGAGAAGCCCGTGCGGAAGAAAAATGCACACCTAAAGAAACATCACCACAACCTCTCAAAATGTGGTCTTGAAGCTCGATGGAGTGAATCCGCGAGGCTACAAAAGAAAAATGTATAGCATCGGTCGCTGCATAGACCCCTAACCCGCCCGCCTTGATAGGTAAAGAGGCTAGCCTCCATTGGAGATTCCCGAAGCCTGGGCCTTCGGATGTGACAATGCTCTCGACAGACCTCCGAAGCGCGATATCGAACTGAGTCGCCGCCTGAGCAAAGAGCTGTGGCGGGCAAGTCCTCAAGGCAAAATACAACTTGGACAAACCCGCACAAGCCCTCAAAAGGACGAGCTCGCACTGAGGATCCCTAAGTTGGCCCAGCGCTCCCATTAACTGAGTCGCTTTAGCCACCCTCTTCGCTGCTAACCCACGAACAAACCCCTCCTCCATGCTAACTGCTCCACCTAAAAGCCCCACTCCATCGCGAGGCCGACTGATATCCAAGGGAAACAACCCCTCCATCAAACTCCTATTATTGTTATGTTTCAATATTTGACTTATAGTTGTAGTACCCCATGCCAATGCATATGCTTTTAAATCATATCTTCATAAAGAATATTATTGTCTCCAGTATAATAGAAGTTATCGAAAGAGCAAAATATTTCAACATGTATCCTTGCATCACTTCTTATTACTTTTTCTTTAATAAAATAAACAAAATAAAGCAAAAGTAAAATTAACATTAACATAAAACTTTAATTTTTTTTAAAAAAAAGGGGTTAGTCTTTCTTTTCCAGATATATTCCTTGGTTCATGAAGATTAGGGTGCACTTCCACGGATAAGCATACACACAACGGTTATTCCATCGTGCACGTGACCAGAAATAAAGGAATTTTAACAAATTGAGGAATGAAAATTTTCATTCCTTAATTTGTTAAAATTGCATAAAAACACCACAACTGGTGGTACTTATGTGATACATAATAGAAACATTTTATGCATATTTTCTAAAGGCTAAATTGTATTAAAATACCACAAAGTTTCTATTTTGCAGCAAAAAAAATGCCAAACTGACACGTTATTACCTTAAACAAGGGACTATGCCAAAGAATATTCCCATGTGATTTTAGAATAAAGATTGTGTTAGTTAGAGAGAGAAAGAATTAAAAGATTGGTGGATACTTGAGGGGTGAAAGATGATGAAAAAATAGAAACCACCTTAAAAACAAGGTAATTATATGAAAATTATCTTTAATTTTCAATTTATATATAAATCATCTTTCAAGGGGGTTTGTTGCAAAATTATCCATGAAAAACTCACATGACACGCGATTTATTTTTTCAGTGTTTAGGTCTTATTACAATACAACTTACATAACTGAAACTTCAATATTTTAAAATTATTTTTTATTTTTAGTAAAAATTTGATTGTGAGGTAGTGATTGTAGTAAAATCCTATTTTAAAAATGGTTTATGTATAAATTGAAAATGAAAAATGGTTTCCATATAATTATAAAAGACAGTTTTTTTTTTTTTTTTTTTTGGGGGGGGGGGG